TGTTTGTGCTCAGGAGTCAGTCATGCACTTACCGCATGCTGCTCAGGTTATGTGAACAAGTCCCATTTCTGAATACAGCTAAAAGCTAATGGATTTTGTCCTTTACTTTTCCCTGTAACAATGAATTGTTCATTCAATTAATGGTGCACTTTACCTAAATGAAAAGCTTTTATCTATTGTCCACGGAGCTTTTATCCCAGATCTCCCGATTACTAGCTACTCTTGTATGCTGGAAAATGGCTGCCTGTTATATTAGCAGGTTACGTTTAAAGGGCAAGATATATTTAATTAAAAAGCCCATAGATCTGGTGGAGAAAAATCCTATTCAAGTCTAGATGTTACTGCTCACGCACAGGCAGCATCGCCCTAGATTTTGCTGGCTAAGATGTAAACAATGATGGTCATATAACCCAAAAGACCGGGAGGCTCATCATTACATGTGGGCTTTACCTAGGGCAGTCTGCATGCATATACAGTACAACATGCCTGGGAACGTCCACTCCTCCAGACTGACATCCACCCATGCAAATAAGAATTGTAATAAAGTTTGAAAAATGCTATTAGCATGCTGATGAGGGGTGAAAGGAAAAAACAGGGAAGTCAAAATGAAACTGCAGTTGCACGAGCTCCGGGGAAACCCATAGGGCCTACATAGGAATATCCCAATTGCAAGCTATTGCCATCACCTTAAGTGTGTGGATACATTGCTTCTCCCAGAAGTGAAGGGGCATACAGTGCAATGTAAAAAGGGCTTCAGGAATTGGAGGTACACCTATGAGGTTTCGATGGTTGGGGAATTAGGTACAAAGAAAAATAATAATGGGGTGGACATTTTAGCTGCAGGGGGATCACAAAAGAACCTGGTCAGGTTCCTGGGCTTGTATGGTGCACCATGACCCAGGTGTGTCAAACTATGCCTGTGAACTGGTGCTGATAGTTTATTTAATGTGGTAGGTTTAGAATTAGGTGTTAGTGGTATGATAAAAGTACATTTCAGGGTTAAGTTACAGGTTTGTGTCTGGTTTTAGGGGCCCTGGCTAAGTGGTTGGTTAAGTGTTAAGGTTAGGGGAGAGAGAGAGAGGTTAAATGGCAACAAGTGTTAGGGATAATTGTGAAATAAACGTGTATTCTCAGCACCGTAAGATCCGAGTTAGTGGTGCAGTTGAAAGTTTATAAGGGTTGGGAGTATTGGGTACAAAACACAATGGGCTTGACATTTCAGCTGTATGGGGGAATCACAAAGGTTTGAAATTGTAAGTGTGCAGCTGCAGAGAATTCGATCAAAGGTCAGGAACCCAGGCTTACACCCAGGTTACACCATGTCAGCTTCAATCGGTTTTCTGCCCCTCTGATTGGAGAGAGGGACAGTGACACATAGAGGGTGGAGCCCACTGTAGACCGGATCTGATTGGTTAATTCTTCAGTCCCAGCCCATTCGAGCTCCCATAGGCAAGGACCATTGCACTGTCCACACTCGCTCAGATGATGACGAGCCGTCGGGGCTCAGTCTGATTGGACAATATCCCCTATAGGACTTATGGAGAGGAAGGGGGGAGCTAAGTTCTGACGTAGGGGGCATGCCCCGAAAACGCGTCAATGCAGGCATTTTCACACTGGCACACAGTTGGGGGCGCAGCTGAGAGCTTATGAGGGCTAGGGGAATTAGGTCCAAAAAATAATGGCGTGGACATTTTAGCTGCAGGGGGACCAGAAAGGTTTTAAAATTTGAAGTGTAGAGCAGCAGAGAATTCAATCAAAGGTCAGCAACCCGGGCTTGTGTGATGCACCATGGCCCAGGTGGGTCAAACTATGCCAATGGACTTGGGTAAGGTGCCGGGGTTTCATTTTAGGAGTTGGGTTCAGAGGAAGGTGTTAGTGGAATGTTAAAAGCAAATCTGAGAGTTGAGTTACAGTTTTTTGTCCAGTTTTAAGGGGCAGTCTAGTGGTAACCTTAGGGGTAGGTTAAGTGTTAAGGAAAGGGACGGGTTAAATGGCAATAAGTGTTACAGATCTTTCTGAAAAAATATTTGTTCTGAGCACTGTAAGGTCCGCTCCACAATCTGTGGTGCCTCTATATGATACCTAAAAATGTGTGTTTTTGCTACAGCTTCATGTATTTAACATTTACAATGACACACCTCACAAGCATTTCAATATCATGAATGTACAAGACTGTGAAGGTATGTAAGACAAAAGGCAGCAAAGTAAAGTGTAGTAACCAAAGTGCAGCAATCATCTTTGTTCCAGATGCTGATAAAAGGTGAAATGTAATTAGTCGCTCCGTGTTATTTAAAAAGCCCCTCTCGGGATTCAGGGTAGCAGTGCTTAGGTCCGGGTTACTACACTGTTATACATTTTCATATTTAATACCAGTATACACACAGAGATATACCAGGAAGAAACCCACAGTACCATCTAGTGTCTAAAAACAGAAGTATTATTACTGCGTTTCATTTCTCTGGAATAGGCGCATGGAACTGTCAGGGCAATAAACGTTTAGGTGCAGCAGGTACCTGCTACTACCCACACTAAAAACAGACACCAACAGAATGCTGTAGCTGGGCTAATGTATTACATAATTGCCTAATCATTTATAGTGAGATTTATGGATTTGGTATAAGCTTTGATCATTGGTCAAATTCAGATGGCTGTTAGGGGGACTTTTCGGTAACTTTGGTAACTGTCAAATGCCCAAAGAGCTGGCACAGTGCCCGGGTCATAAGTTTGTTGTTTGGAAAAACCACGAGTTTCCAAACCATCGTGTCTTAAGTCCATTATAACAAAAGTATCATATAAAGAAATATATGCCAAAGGTTTATTGTATGTGTATAGATAAATGTCAATGCCTTGTATTCTATGCATTGAAACCATTTTGAATCACAGATGTCATTTTGAGTATATTTTTCTCTCTCAGAACAATTATGGAAATGAATGGAAAATAAAATAATTGCCAGCATGGGAGAGACGGCCGTTGTGAGCCAGCAGGCAAGGAAAACTGGATGGTCCCAATAACTAGCCATCCTATGCCGATTCCCTCAGGTCTAGTAGACAGACACATGTGTGTCATGGATAGAGAAGGGTATAATTACTGACAATTAGGGATGTGCAGAGTGATTTGGGTGATATTACCGTTGTCGCTGGTAGTATCACTACTGAGCTACTTAAATTGTGTAAAAAAAAAAACTTTTTTTAAGCATGTATTTTTATTGGTCATTTAAAGGATGTAACACAAGATGAACAAAAATTACATGAGGAGCAGTGTAATGACAGCAGAGGTATATGCGCCTCACACAATCATAAGGACAGAAGCAGGCTTGTCACATAAGGAGGAGGCATCGTACAGGACATTCCGCTCCATTGATAGTGTGGTTTCAAAAACGACTTTTTAAATCTTTATTTAGAAGTTGTCTAGTCATTTATTGGAGGGTTTGTACTTAGGTTAGCTTTATTTTTTTAATGAAGTATTCTTTGTATTTCTGTTTTTTTTCCTTTTGTGTATTTGTTCCTAAATTATTATTATTAGTAGTATTATCATTTTAATTTTAATTTTACTTTTTCCCTGATCTTTCTTTTTTTTTCTCTTGTAAAAAAAGAGGAAATAATGAGCCTAATGAGGGGCTGGCTTCTGGCACAAGAACAGGTCCAGGATAGTTGAAAGGAGCTTTCATAACCCTTCAGGAGCCATTTAGGGACCATTCACACCAGGGAGCGCACAGTATGGTGCATTTAGCGCATGCGTGCTAGGTTGCATTGTGCATCCAGTGATACATTGTAACAACTATTTTTTTAAGCTTAATTTAAAGTTAACACAAAACAATATATGCCAGCCTTAAAAAACAAACGGGGGAGACACTAAAGGGAAGAAAGGGAAAAAAGGGAAAAAGTGATAAAAATAAAGAAATGTTTTTCTTTGGTTTATCGGTTCATATGGGTTTTTTTGGAGCATAACAGAAACTTTCAAGGTCATATCTCATTTTGCTAAGTTAACAAAAAACACTTAATTCAACTCTATGCACAAGAACACATTGTGATGATTTGTCGTGCATTGTGTTACGTAAAAACGCTGTCATGCTGCACACCTACGCACTTGTATGGAGTGAACAGGGCACACAGAATGTCCTTGAGTTGAGCCTCTGTTAATCTACCTGATAAAAGCAGCTCAATGTGCCTGGTGTGAGCGAGCCTTTAAAACTAATTGTACCCTAAAGTGTATCTAAGCCCAAAAAAACATATGTAATACATTGCAGCTTAAAAGTCCATAGATATGGTGGCTGCAGTAGTATTTTGATCTAGTGATCCTGCAAGAAACACCATTCCTGTTCCAGGGTGACAATACTTACTCACCACACTGTATTTATGGAGGGGCAGAGTTGCCACCCTAAGCCAAGGAGTGTGTTGGGACTACAGAACACCTCCTCCTCTTCTTATCTCCATAACACAGAGGAGGTGGTTTGTAGTTCAGAAAGAACTATGAAGAATGATAGCTGATAACAGTCAGCAGAGTCAGTGAGGAAGTTATCAAAGGAAAGTTACAAATGAGGTTATCAGCTTCCTAGATCAGTGCGGCCAGACAATTTAACTGAGCGAGCTTCTGAGTACAATTTATAAAGAAATAGAATCCCCTGATGAAGGGGGATCTGTGCATAACCACAGAAATATGTTGGTTGTTGACTCTCGATAGACTATTTTATTGTGACAAATAAGTATTATATCTGGACCAATCTCTAGGGCTTGGCACTCTAATCCTTTCAGTCCATGTCTTATAGTTTTGAGGCCGCAAACAGCCAGACAATTAGCATTCTCAGAAGTAGGTCAGTAAAGGCAGCCTCTGCATTTCAATACAAGTTCTCTTTAATGCATTATATAAAGCTTATGCATTTCCGCTTTAGGTCTTCAGGAACACTCCTGTGAGGTACGGTAAGCAGTAGTGTAGGGCGGGTGAGCTGGCAATGACTGTCAGTGGTCCATTTGTTACGACACCTTAAAATCCATCAACGAGTTCAGTCCATGAGGATAGTACAGAGCTTCCCGGACATAGTCTGCAGAGGAGTGGCAGACACCAGAGGTGCCTCCACCTCTTCTGTATCATTGTTCACAGTCTCTTCATGACTTCTCCCTGGAGAAAACTCAGATATATATGTAGTCACACTGCTGTACAAGGTGAATCCCACAATGATCATTACAAATGACAGGATGTAGAGTCCGGAAAACTGCAGGGAAAGCAAAACACAATAAATATCATGTATACTTTGTGTATGGATTTTTTACTTGTTCAAAATAACATTTTAAAATGTAATCTATTCCGTCTTCTGGAATGTATTAAGAGAGACATTTCATATTTACCTTTATAACCAGCAGGTCTAGGAGCTCTAGGGTACTTTCCATGTCTACCTGGCTATTCTTAGCTGTTCTGTTTTAAAATGTAAACAGCCTATTTTTTCCTAAGGGGATTATATGCATAATGAGGTGAGTGAAAATCACTCATCCTCATAGCTCGAGCCGACGTGTGACAATGAAACTATCACACGTCGGCTCAATAGATCGGGAAGTGACACATACCATCGCTCACTCACTTCTGGATCATCTCCCTGCAAAGAGAAGTGACTGTCAGCCACGGCTCCCTGCAGGCATTCCCCCCCCCCTCCTCCCCGATCCTCCAGCGCTGACTGGGGGAACGGACGGGGGAGGGGGCCTCTAGATAGGCAGAGCCAGCTGTCAATCACGCAACTGGGTGGATCTGGACAGTAATGTCGGGATCCGTCCCGGCTGCGGTGGTCTCAGTATACCGCGAGCTGCAGTTAGCGATATACTGAGCTTTGGGTCACGGGAGGACGCTAGTATATGTCCTCCGGTGACCCTGGGGTCACCGGAACTATGGGGTAAGTGTTTTTCCCCATAGTTCTCTTTTAAGCATGAGTGCATATAGTCCCCTTAGGGACAAACATGCTGTGTAGAATTGATTGTGTGGGAAGCTTGTACATCCAATCTATATACAGGATTTATATGAGTGAAAGCTGAAAGCCAATGAAAGCTCCATCGGTTTCTCATTCATGTTATGTTGAAAAAGTCTGGTGTTTAAGAGTTTAATAGCTCAGTCACGCAAAAACACAGAACATAGTAAGTATGAAGAATGATCAGAGCCACTCTCTTCATCTACCTACCTGGCTGAATGGAGTTTCAATCAGAGAAAGAGGGTCCGAGAAGATCTTCTTGTGTGCTTTCTCTTTGGAAAACTACTAATGCATCACAAATCCTGTGTCACTGACGTACCTTGCATTAACTAGTTTTGTTTGAGATATAGGGGGTGATTTACTAACCTAAACACACGCACGCACTAGGTGCGTGTGATTTTTACACAGCAAAACGTATTTATCAACCAAAAAGTCTCTAAAAGCATATTTCCACTAATGCCATATATGGAAAAATCATGCACATGATGCATATATAATGCTGCTTCACAGTTTAGACAAAAATGGTTTGCTCATACATTTACATTCTTGCATTCATCAACGCAAGCAACACAATGTAGAGCTAATTTACACAACATCACCTTGCAATTCATGCAGGGCTTTGCACAACACACCTGCTGGGTGTGTACACACTACAAAGGTGTCTAGATTCCACCCATAGATCATGTTGGGAGGGAACACACAACAGAGGTGTATACTTGTCCGTGGCGTGTTTATAAGGTTAGTAAATCAACCCCATAATCTCAGCTGTGCACAGGCCTTTATGCAAGCTGACTGAAGCTCAGGTCTCTCTCTCTCTTGCTTTCCTGCTGAGTGAAAAGGCTGAGTACTGACAGAACACTAAAAAGTACTGCCTGTTTATTTTGTAGAACCAACTATGGGGGCACCCAAAGAGAAACACTCTGATGCCATAACTCCAATAAAACAACCTTATTCACTCCAACAAGAGTCTGCTAGGGCAGACCTTGAGAGGGACTGAGCGGTCTCTTGTTGAAGTCAATAAAGTAGTTTTTATAGAAGTTATGGAGATTTACAGACTGAATGCACTGGGAGTGTGGATGAGCTTCTTGAGTGAGCACCTGATTTTTCTCTGCACTGGGTAATTTGTCAATTCTGGGAAGGTGCAGCGTCACCTTTCTCACATGCTGATCTGAGAATAGTTAGTAGCTTGGATGAGCAGATGTTTTGTTTGTTTTATGCTATGGACTTACTGTACAAAACCCTCTTGCATTGAACTGTGTTTGTCTGTGAAACAAAAAATATCACAAGCGCCCACACCCGCAGCTGTATTAAGGTGCAGTGTAATACACTCCCGAGGCAGCTCCCGCTGGTCAGGGTAACCGGCAAACTGAAACAAAAAAACACATGGAGCGCCTCCATCGTGTAAAACAATTTAATTAGTCGGTAAAAACCGCTAAGACCATACTTACAGACATATGGTTCTGAGGAAGGAGGCGTGGCCTCTGAAACACGTAAACCATGGTGAAGCTTGCAGCCTGCAAGCTGAGGCTTTTATGCATCATCCGTGTCTTCTTTCACCCATTTAACTTACTTACAGACATATGGAATTAGCAGGCATGTAAGTTAGATGGGTGAACGAAGACGCGGATGATTCATAAAAGCCTCAGCCTGCAAGCTTCATCACGGTTTATGCGTTTCAGAGGCCACGCCTCCTTCCTCAGAACCATATGTCTATAAGTATGGTCTTAGCTGTTTTTACAGATTAATTAAATTGTTTTACACAATGGAGGTGCTCCTTTTGTTTGTGTTTGTTTGTTTGATCCCTGTTAAATAAAAGTGCAGGACAAACCTGCTTGGACTGTTCCTGGGTATCCATGTGTAGTACTGCCAATACCATTTGAGCAGTCTTCCTTAAAATAGATTTTTTTCTGGAGGTCCTTCACCTACCGCCTACAATCCTAAATATACCAGTGAATTAATTAGCTAGTCCCTAGTCTGTGTATGTATGTGGCAGGGGCATCAGATTATTAACTCCTTATAATGATGTGTAATTAGCGTGTGCTTACCTTGTAACCGAATAAAAAGCGGCCAATGAACAGGGTGTAGATGTCAGCGGTGAGCAAGCCTAAGACGACCGAGGTGGCACTGGAGTGTAGTACAGCAAATGTCATTGCAGAGTAAAAACCAAACAAGCAGGAGGCGTACCCTGCAAACAGCAATCCTATAAATGAAGCACAAATACAGAACCAGAATGAGAGGCGGAAAAGACATATCCTGGAAATGTGATGAAGGGAACATTACAAAATTTAAGGTACTGCCTACAACAGATCTGTGCAATTCTTCTAAGCTTACATGCATAAAACAGACCTGTGTTTCTGTGATCTATAGTGTGTGGCTGATACATGACTGTAAGATATTAATTATATAGAGGTTCTTTAAGATTTAAAGGAGAACTGTAGTCTTCTTTCATGCTTTTAGAAATACATGTGGTCATGGCTACCTTGTGAATGTAAAGGTCTTATAGCAGCATATCCGCTGGACCGAGGATCAGGTGAGCATATCTGCTTTATTTGAGCCCCCTAGACAAAACAAGCACTTAACCCTTGCAGTGCATGGGGAACCCCACTGCAGGGGTTGCTTTTTAACTTACTCTTGCCAGATCCCAGTCCCACGGTGGTTAGCGCTCACCTCTCTGCCTGTAACTGTGGCTGTGGGATGTCCCTTGGCATCCTCACATATAATGCAGGTCAATGGACCTGCATTAGACGTGATGACATCAGCGGTCCTTAGACCACCAGAGGCCTGCGGAAGAAAAGGTTGTGCAACCTTATATGTGTATCACTCGGCTGTAGATCCTCAAATCATCTCTGAATTGGTGCTGACACTGTCCTTTCTTCTGGGGGGTGGCTACTTTTGTTCCCTATGGTCCCTGTGCGTGTTGTAAAGTAGCCACCACTCCAAGCTCACTCTCGTGATGGACTACAATCTTAATACAAATTAGTAAACTAAACATGAGATTGTAGTCCATTACACGAGTGAGCTTGGAGTGGTGACTACTTTACAACACACACAGGGACCATGGGGAACAAAAGTAGCCACCCTCCAGAAGGAAGGACAGTGTCAGCACCAATTCAGAGATGATTTGAGGATCTACAGCCGAGTGATACACAAATAAGATACATTTTTGTCAATAGTTAAGGTACTTGAATGTATTTTTAAGATTAAACTTCTGAGTTTAGTGTCACTTTAAGAACAGACTGATCTCATGAATTGAGAGATGGTGCTCACCTCCTAAAAACAGGAGGGCTGTCATCTTTCTAGAGCACCAAGAGTTGACATATAATCTCCTTTAAACCCTCGCTGTCTAAACCACATTACTTGCTACCCAGCAGGTTTAATAATCTATGCACTCCCTCTGTTAATGAACTATTCTGTTTTTATCATTAAACGAAATAATAAAACTTTTTATCGAAAGAAAAATTACTTACCTACTCCCCAATTCCAGTCAATGTTGGCAACAGCAGCTGATTCCAGTGCCATGCTTTGGTGATACATAAAAAAAGAAAATACAAACAGAAAGAAAAGCAATAATGGAATTAGATTACTCTGCAATCAGCTCTCTCTGTAACAGAAGATTAGTAAGTGTTGAGGCATTGGCTATCTTTGCACTTATTATTATTATTACACAGGATTTATATAGCGGCAACAGTTTGTGCAGCGCTTCACAATATAGGAAAGACATAACAATTACAATACAATTCAAGACACGATGGTAAAGAGGGCCTGCAATGGACTGGATCGCTCCTTACCCTTACTTGGCCAACACATAGGTGCAGAGTATGTGTGCAGAAAGATTAATTTCCTTTTCTATGGAGGAAATGCAACAATCTAATAGCTCTAAGATGTTTTCCATAGTGTTGTGCCTAATGAAACTATCTGAGCCTTGTATATACAAGATGTGTTACCACTCTGACTTTTACATGATATGCTATAAAAAAATTGATGTAGACGACAGTTTCTTGCATATGGCATCAAAATACATGGGTGAGACATATAAAAGGGAAGTATAAATAAGAAGTCAGGAGACTCATACTTTACCAATAGTAGAGTCCCAATCATTGTTCTAGGCTTTTGTGCTGCTACCTGGATTGTGTTTTTGGACTCTTGACCCTGAATTCTGATATCTTGCTGTCTGTCCCAACTCTGGTCCGTCTGCCTTCACCTTTGAATTTTGACTTTATATTGCCTATTGGTTGCTGACTCTCCAGCTTCAACCTCTGTCTATCTCCTGATTTGCTCCTAAATTGCCACTACAAACTAACACCCCAACAACCGCTTAGGCGCTCACACTAGAAATGTCCACTTTCACAGGTCGTTCTCCAATTCCACACGTATATTCATGATACAACGTTGCCAATTTCACCAGTCACAATTAGGTTCTGCCCTTACTGACTAGAACAGTGAATTTGCCAACTCATGTACAGGCAGGAAAAACAGGAGCAGCAAGGGTAGGTGGTCACTTTAGGAACCTCACAGTGCTGAATCTAATTAGAGTGCCAGCATTCTACCCAAAACTTGCTCATGTGACCTTTATGGTGAATTTATCAGCAATGCATGGCAGGTACAGCCTGATAAAAGTATTGGCACTTACAGTTGTGTTCCACTGACAAATGCCCCGAACAGGCCCAGCATTGCCAGAAACTCCACACAGGATAACATCTTCACCACATACTCCTGACAGAGATCAGAAATTGCATACAAGCAAGCTCCCAGGATAACTAAAAGATCCCCAATCAGCATGCCACTGCCTGCAAGAAAGCCCAAATAAAAGATAATTATTAAAGAAATTCACAAGGTACTTTATGTATATAAAATGAACATGGAAAATAATACATGTCTAGTAAGTTTTTAACTATTAGTTAGACACTGCTAAGATTTTTTCACAAAGCTGCACCTGGAGCCCATAGTCATAAAAAATCCACCATGAACTGGGGAATCAGTCATGTCTTTTCCACCATCCTATTTTGGGAAGATCACAAGTGAGACAGCAGGACACAAGTTTCTAAATGATGGCCACAGAATCCAATAGTTGTGGTCATTTCATTTTGGATTGTAGGTAGTACTTGTTTCCCAATTGACAGAGCATGTCAGGACAGTATTAGGAGAAGTTGTGCACCAATACACTGGGCAAGGGTCATCTTCATCCAGTTATGTGTGCGCAGACGTATGCACAAGCTGGCTAATTCACATACTCAGGCTAATTCCCACGAGCAAGATAATCTACAAGGACACGTTGCGCATGTGCAAGAAACGCCCATTCCTAATTCCAGGCAGACAGTGCTGAGTTAGGAAGTTGTTAGACGGTCTTCAGCTGTTATCCTGCGATTTGACCCTGATCCTGTTCCTGATTTGCTTACCTGTTGCTGACTCAGTCTGCTCTTGGACTTCTCTTTGCTCTACCTCCTTGTTATCAACCCTGCACAAGGCCCTGACCACAGCTTGTCTCTGCTATATCTGGTTTGATCTTGGCTAGTTCCTGATCATGGCTTATCTCTGTTATCTCCAATTTCATCTGGGCTACATTCCTGAATAAGACTTTTCTCTGCTAATCATCTGATGTGACCTCATACTGCATCTTGACTAGACCCTGCCTGTTATTTGTCTTCCCAGCCACCAAGCTCTGCTTCTCCTGACTTCACTTGTAGTCAGCAGTATTCCAGTGTCTAGCCCAGCTGTTTACTATTATCTGGACTACCGGCACCGTGCCGTGCTGTGCCCTCTCACTCCCTGAACTTTCCTCCACTAAATCAGAGGGGTGACAAGGGAAGCCCTCTTGTCATCTCCATCTCCACCAGATACGTAATAGAGCAACACCTCAGTGGTTCAGCCAGCGAGGTATTGAAATCATAAGAGCAGATGAGTGGTCTTCCTGGGTGCTCTCTTTGTGATTCTGTTGCTGGCCATTTGACACCAGTGACAGAATTACTAGTATGACATGGAGCTCAAGACTGCAGAGGCAATGTCACTTCCATAAGATATTTGTGACACTGTCACTCACTGCTATCATTAAGATGTTATTGGGCAGGGGCAAACAAAAATATTTTGGGGACTTGCTGGTTTTGAGCTTAACCAAATGATTTGTCTCGCCCTTAAGACAGGGTAAATCAGGTAGGCTGTGTGTTTTGACTCAAACTCAGAAAGTTCCTATTTGTAAGCAGTGTACATTAAGAGAACCAGTCACCAGTGGGCACTTGTAATAATCCAAATGTCTTCCCTTTTTTTATTGTAATATTACAGCCTTACCTCTCAGAGATTACTTGATTTGTTATTATTTATAGTCTCGCCATGTCAAGGTGGAAGTGAGATTGCATGGCTGTCCTATCTGCAGCCTGATCTCTGGTCTGATAACTGATCCTCAAGAACTGCCCTCTAACAGAGGTGTGGACAGAAATATATAACAGAAAATGAAATGCTTTACTAATTGACAGTTTAACCTTTTCCAGCAGCCTGCTCAGTAGCTCAGTTATTAGCCCTGAACTCCTGCTGAAGACTTCCTCTATGGCCACGGGTGGGCCTCACAACCTGACATGTCTGCTGTGACAGACAGAGACTGCAACTGAATAACTGCACACACACCTATCCCTGAGAGGTAAGGCTGAACAATTATAAAAACATAAGAGTGCTGATTCAGATTCTAAATTTTTACTGGTTCCATTTACTATACAGCAGATCAAGAAGTCATTGCATACATGGCGCAGTCAACAGTGCTGGGGTGCAAACTTGGACTAACCTTTGCCATCTTCTCTTCCAGACAGGACATCTGCATAAACCATGGTTCCAACACCCAAAAGGCAGACCACAACTGCAATGTAATGGATTGGTTTGAATATTGAACGAAGAATAAACCAGGAAAGGACCATCAATGCAGGGATTGCAACACAGTCTAGAAGCTGAATTAACAGAAAAGAAAAAAATACAAGGTCCATTTTTTAAATAAAGTTTGAGAAGCTTTTGTAGCGCTCACCCCCGAAGGAGCATTTATATCCTCTCCCAGCATGCATCACTGTTACTGTCCTGCAGTGATTGGCTGGGAGACATAAATGCCCAAAGCAATCCTCATTGGCTGTTCTGCCCTGTGTGGTAACACACCCACCCACAGGCAGACACAGCTTCACAGATTGTTCTGTCACAGTTGAACTGAACATAGACTATATATATAATCTAGCACTCCTTTTTAGCAAGGTGCTACACTTTGTACCCTTTTTTTTTGTGTTGTCTCTGCCCCCCACTTTGGATTTTGGATGTTCTCACTACTCCTGTTGCATTACCTTAGCTATTAACAATAGTGAACCTTATTTGTGTATCACTCGGCTGCAGATCCTCAAATCATCTCTGAATTGGTGCTGACACTGTCCTTCCTTCTGGAGGGTGACCACTTTTGTTCCCCATGGTCCCTGTGCGTGTTGTAAAGTAGTCACCCCTCGAAGCTCACTCCTCTGATGGAATACAATCTCAATACAATCTAGTAAACTAAACATGAGATTGTAGTCCATCACGGAAGTGAGCTTGGAGTGGTGGCTACTTTACAACACACACAGGGACCATGGAGAACAAAAGTAGCCACCCTCCAGAAGGAAGGACAGTGTCAGCACCAATTCAGAGATGATTTGAGGATCTACAGTCGAGTGATACACAAGTAAGCTGCATTATTGTTAATAGTTAAGGTGCTTCAATGCATTTTTAAGATTTAACTCCTGAGTTTAGTGTCACTTTAAGGTTTACATACTATTTAACTTTCTATCATCTAATTGGTCAGTGTTTTTAAGAATTGAAGCCCAAGAAAGCCAAGCAATTAGTATTTTCAGGAGGTCCACAATACCAGCTTACATATTTTTCTCACCAGGAGCATCCTTTAACCAACAAACATTTCCTCTTACCTGAACATTGATGAGCGTAGTGTACTGGAAGGCTTTAACCATACAATAGTTTCCTTCCACATCGACAATAGCCAGTAATAGGTACTTCCACCACTTGTTTTTCAGTATGTACACAATTCCGCTCTCTCCTGTTCCAAAGAGTTAAAGCAGTGAAAACATTTAGACATTCTATGCTTATCTATAACATACTCCTTACTTCTGCCTAATGCTCAACAGAACACAGCACATCCAGATGAGTTTAATATCCAGAGCTGTGTCTTGGGAACAGTAGGGAAGATAACTGTTCAAGGTCATAACCAAGGACTGAGCAACACATGAAACCTTCACATCTGTGCTACTGAACATACATAGAATATACAAATACAATGTGGATAAAGCTTCATGTTCATGAGCTGTATTAGCTTTGATTATATGCAGCCCGCGTTTGCTAAAATGCTGGAAAAGGAGCAAATGTGTAATGATAAAAGAGCAGCCGCAAGCAGGGACGGATTTACTCTCTCTGATGCCCCATGGCCAGAGGCCTCAATGCACACAGCAGCCACATCACCAGTCAAAAGACTTTTTGCCTGTTTGTAACTTTCCAGGTCTGCAAATCACAAAGCTGTGCAAATAATATCATAGTACAGTAAACTCTCTGTAAAGGTGCCCATACACTGCACGATTCTAGTTTTTAGCATGCTCGGGAGACAAATGCCGAACGGGCCGTTGTGCGCACGCGCACACTGCCCGTTCAGCATTGCGGTCATCGGAATGATGACCGCAAGACCAAGGTCTTGCGATGGTTGTAAAGTGTATGGCCACTTTTACCCGGTATTCAACTAACCAGAACTCTCATCTTACAAGAAAAAAAAATCCTGTGTACTCACTGTTCTGCTGATCTGTGACATGTGTTATCCTGGAATTGATCGTGTGTCTATTTGTCTTAATTTGATAGAAACTAAATTTATCCGGAATATACCAATCCCCGTGGATGCCAGATAACGGGGAGTTTACTGTATTTAAATTTCTTCCTTATGTTCGCCCCAGTTTAAATTTTAGGACAAGGTTAAAATGTATCTAAACCAACAAATAAAAGGTGTAATTTGGCTTTTCTGACCGGATCTTAGATGTGGAGGCTGTATTCCAGGGATCCCAACCAGAAAAAAACTATTTTATGGAGGTGCCCTTTGCCCCCCCCATCCACAAGGGGGGAGGGGAGAGAGAGCACCCCCCTGAAACGAGGGGAGATAGCACTGGAAGCAATAGCTTCTTTGATATCTGCTGTTTGTTTTTGTAGTATTCTGACAGCTGCTGCCGTCAGAATAAAAAAAAACATTAGCATAGGGAAGAGTAGCTAGATTGCTATTAGCTAGTTCAATTTGCAATATCCAATAGCAAGCTGGCTATTGCACCCGCCCTCTGCTGCTGGGTTTTCTTTAGGTTTTTAGATCTTTTTTCCTTTTAATAGTAAACAATTTAGGGGGTTATTCACAAAGGAGCCGAAGGATCCAGCCGTAGCTTCGGCTGATCCTTCAGCTCTCTGCGGCCTCCTCTGCCCTTCAGTTCAGTCTATTCACTATAGCCCATACAGCAGCCAAAGGCTGCTGTATGGGCTATGCTACGGCCGGCCGTAAACCCCTCAAATGACCGCTGGGCGGAGAGATCACAGCTCGCACCGCCCAGTTGTAATGTCAGATCAGCATCCCCAAATGACATCTGGGCAGAGAGGTCACGGGCGGCTCCGCCCAGTTGTTATTCTTTGCCCGGGACCTGCTAGAAGACTCTAGCAAGTCCCGGCCAATAGAAAACAGTTGGAGCTAGCTGCCAAAAAAAATATTTTTATTTAATTACAACATTATATCATAAATTAAATACATAAACTTAAATGTAATAAAATTAACTAAAAATGTTTATAGTTTCTCTTTAAGAGTAATAAAAAAGTAGCTCATACCTGATCTGAATGCCAGCCAGACAGTATAAACAAGAGAAAGCAGAAAATAAGTGATGAAGTTCTGCGTTACCGGTGTATCCACCATATAATTATCTACAAGGAGCTGGCTGGTCACAGATGTTCCACATAAGAAAAGAGACAGCAACTGGCCCAGAAGAACAATCTTCAGGACATGCCTGCAAACACAAGAAGACAATAGTCAGACAACGGTGGTGGCATACACAGTTTAATCAGTGCAGGTATACTATATTACAGCATTTTTAAGGAGGTCCAATTAATAAAATTTTCACTGAGGCGAGGTCTGAAACGTGGTCCGGACAGAATGGTCACTCAGTCCGTGTCCATACCATGGTCCGCAATTTAGGCTGCATTCACATCAGTAGCTGCACTGGAATGCACAGCTGCTGGTGTGCTGGTGAGGTTTAACTCCTGAGTTTATTGTCACTTTAAGGCTAGTTTCACACCTAACAGCTGGGTTGCAATGCTCTGCATTAGGCAGCCCATTCAAAACGGAGTACCTGCGTCGGTAGGGTGTGTCGGGGTGACATTTAAAATGAATTGCAACGCATTGTAGCATTAGAAGTAGAGTGCAGTGACATGCATTTTAATAGCGCACATGGGTATGCATGCGTTCATGTAACACAAAATTACGAACGGGACCTAATGTTGCCTGCTATATAGAACCCAGTAATAAATGTGATAAATGTGTTAAGGAAAAGAGAGTGAAAGTTCTAGGGGAGAATTGTGTACAGGAAGGTCTATCTGTATGAAAAGGGGGGTAGGATGGCAAGATAAGCACAATGTCTACAGTGTCATCATGGCTTTTGGTCTGCACTTTACACGTCATTGCATTATTTTATTTTTTTATGATGGGGCAGATGTCTTTCCAACTGCAACATACAGGAAAATGAGCGTTGATTGCACTGAGACTACTGCTGTCACTTGTCAGATTCACCCAAAGAATGGTAGCAGCGTACATACACCTTATCAGTTCCTTCTCTCTATGGAACGTTCACACCACAATGGGCGTTATAACACGCATCATATCCTGTCTTACGGTAATGCACATTAACATGCTGTATGTACGGTTGGGGTGCAATACCTTTTATTTTTAATTGCATCACAACCCATAGATGCAAATGATATGTACTTTGTGGTGCAGATTATATGCATAAAACATAAATTGAACAGGACCTTTTTGTTCATGAACTGAGTTTACTGCCCAATAATAATAAATGGTCTGCCTAACACAAAGCACCTATATGCATAAAAACATGTGTGCTAAAGTGTTCTACGTTGTGGCACAAATGGACCCTACGAAGGGATCAGCCAGGTAATCTTTATTGGTAAAAGAAAAAACCCAATTAACTGACAATGAACACAATCATACATAGAAACAAATTCTGTTGTTATCTATAGACTGACCAGCACACTGTATGTTGAATTGTTGATTAGTAGTATTGTATTTATATACATTATAAAACCCCAGACATTGGAAGGTGGTTGGCTGTTCACACCTTTGATTCTCCCATTCTCCCATTCACATGTATATTTAGAATTGTGAACAGTTCAGATACCTTTAGTGATGGAATTCCCAAACACTGACAGGTCAGACTGGTTAGTTTCTACCTACACTTAGCACAAAAGGGGAAGGCTCCTAATACAAAAGCAAAAATGATTACAGTGGCATAGAAAACGTATATGGATGCAACAAGTACTTAGAAGTGAATTATAAGACCTGAGATTTTAAGGGGGCCATAGAGAAGGTCATAAAGTGTTATATACTTTGAGCACTGGCCATACACTGCAGGCTGAATGAGGAAAATTACTCTATTCCCCCATTAATTCTAAAGAGCATGGATAGAGGAATCTCCCCTGCAGGCTAATGTATGCTCACAACCGGCATCTGCAACTTTCAGAATACTCAAACACTGTTCACCCAACAGTTTTCCCCACTCAGCTCCTTCCACTGAGGCTGGACAGTAAATGACAAGCTTTGGTTTCTAGCAATACATGGCCAGTGCACGGAAACCCAATTACACAGAAACCCCCAAAAAATTGCTTTCATTCATATCACTGTGCTGCAAAGCTAATAAAAAAAACATCCATTCTACCCCAATTTTCTTTTTTTTATCTGCATTAAATAATCTTTTCATTTGTATAGGAATTAACGGAATTTTTTTTCTAGGGGGAGAAAAGGTTTTTGCATGTTTCTGCATTAGATACACTTTAGCTCTTCTGTGCTTGAACTGCTTGTAGCTTCACTGCTCATGTTTTACATATACTGTATATCTTTTTAGTTTTGCATATATATTTTTAGTTGTGGAGAGTGGTGAGGGGGTTATTGGTCAAGACAGGGGCTTGGTGGTTAACACGTTTGCCTTGCAGCACTGGGGACCTTGGCTTGAGTGCTCTGGACACAATCTGCATGGACATTGCATGTCGGGTTTCCTCCCACACTGCAAGGACTTGCTGGAAGTTAAATTGGCCCTAGCATGACATTTTACTAAGTGTGTTCAAAGACACCTGCCCCACCATCTACCCCAACAGCAGCTAAAGCACTTTGAGTCCCCAGGGAGAATAGCACTATATAAATTAATATTACTTTCTGTGCCCCCATTAGGGAGATTTACTATGTCTATTAGTCCTGGTGACCACTGTCACACAGCCTGTGTACAACCCCTCCATCAGAACACCTAATCCAAACACAAATTTACCATGAGAAGATCTTCCTCCAGAGATGTCTGTATGCTGGATCCCTGCATGTTGTAGGGGTTGGGTGGCCCAGCAATGGTTGGCTGGCTCCTACATCTGTCATCCTTTAATCTCATATAAGACCACTGACCAGAGATACTGAGGACTTGATATAGCTGCCAATTTGCATGAGAATAGTAAAGTCTGCAACCCAAAACAATGGACCTCCCACCACAGCTAGGATCAAATTCCAGAGCTCCATGAGAAAGGTGTGATAAGTATGTAATCCAGAGCTGTACATATAAGGGCCCATCCTCACTAAAACCCATTTGTTAGGGTGTGTCATGTTGATGTTGGTTGATATTAGCATTGCAAATATTTGCATTTTTAAATAAACTGCATTGATTATAAAGGCAAGGGCCATTATAGTGTAGCAGTGGGTTGACAACTGTAACAAGGACACTCCACTGTAGACAGGAGGTGCAAGTAAAATGCATTTTTATTAAAGGGCAAACACCAAATATCTCATTCCATCCAGAGGGTAGACCTCCCCTGTTGCACAAGACAGTTTCTAGCAGCAACATAAAGGACAGTCTTTTAGCTTTGCTCTGTAGCTTTCCACAGCTTCAAGAAACTCTTGTTGCTCACCCCTCGTGAGCCCTCAATCTGCTCTCTCAGCAGTGTGTACCACAGGTCCTAGGGTCACCGACCTTCCTGACCTCTCCCCTTGTGGGCACTCACACTGCTCTCCCAGCAGTGCGTCCAACAGGTCCCTTGGGTCACCGACCTTCCTGACCTCTCCCAGCCACCCCTGGCTGTTCCTTGTGCGTCCATCACGCACCTGAGTTTGCCTGTGTCCGTGTGCTTCCTGCACACACACAACTCCAACTCTACTCTGAGCACTGGGCTGGCTTCCTAATGAGGCTGCTCTCAGCCACCTGATCAGCCCAGGCTGGTCATTGGCAACACCTGGCCCCAGGACTGGAGATTTCCTCACACCCAGAGCTCTAAAGGTGCCCATACACCTTACGACCATCGCAAGACTTTTGTCTTGCGATGGTTGTAGGCTTATTGAAAGCTCGTACGATCTGCCCACCTTGGACGGGCAGATCGTACTTGCGATCATCGAAAGCCCGCCCCGCTGAGGGGCGGGCTTCCGATGACGGCAATGCAGAACGTGTTCCACAGCTATCGGACGAGCAGGCTAGAAACCCGCTGACAATCGTACGAATCTCGGTGGGTTTTCGAGCATGTTGGTTCGACAAAAGACGTGCGACCGTACAGTAGAAACTGTCGCACGTCTTCCTTCACACTGCTCGATTCTCGTACGATCGCGGGATTTCGCCCGATTCTCGTATGGTCAGATGGAAAAGGTGCTACAGATTCCTCCATCTACACTTAACTGTGTGGATGGAGTAATCTCCACCTGGGCCAATCTGTTGCACTTTTTCCATCTGACCACAGAAAATCTGCAAATAAATTGTAAGGTATTTGGGCACCTTTAGAAATCTCCAGAGCTCCAGATCCCAATTACAATTAGGAAAACCTGGAAGGACCTGAAAAGCCAGACTCTTCCTTATATCATTGTTTACATTCTGGACCCTCTCAGCCCCTTTGGCTGAGAGTCCTGGGTGCCAATGTTGCCATGCACTGCCATACAACATTATCACAATGGGAAGTTTTTTGTATTTAATTTACCATGTTTGATTCTGTCTATAAAGGGATAACACTATACAGCTGCTCCTTAAAAAACCTTTGCTGTCTTTATAGTTTAATAATGGCAAGTGTACCTAGAACACAGTGTTCTGTAGTAATTTCAGTGCATTGGTGTGAATATGTCCTATTGAAAACAGTTTAGTGTGCAGTTGAAAATGAAGCAATTTGCATGAAAATACATCTAGTGCCCACCCTAAGCGATACTACGAGAGTCAGTAAAAAATGCAAACTGTTCATTTCCAAACAAATTAAATAAATAATAATTTGCTTTAATAAATTAAACAATTTTAATGAATGTGTTTTCATACTAACATAAAACACATCTACCAGCAAAACTATGAAAGCAAGCAGAGGATAGTTGGACTTAAAGGCATAGGTTGGCTGCTAGGTCCATACAGGGCATGACCACGCTTGTTTAGTCTATTGAGAGAGGCGGAAGAGGTGGTCAGTACACCCATCTGGTGCCGACCTGTCTGATTGCTTCTGCAACAAACAATGATTGCCAGCAGTGTCTGCTGCTGCCCATAGACATTCAAAATCAGGCCCAAAAGGTCCATATTGGTAGACTGCAATCCAACATCTATGGGCTTTTCATAGACATCAGTGTAGTCACACATACAGGTAAGATCACACTGTCAGTGTATGGCTAACCTGTGGAAAGCTAGATGCAGATCATACATGTTAGGTACGTGGTTAGCTATGTTACAGTAAAATTCTGGGGTTTTATGATCAGTTCCCTATCCAACGACACCAAATGCATGGAATTTGTACCCGTTTGTGGGGGTCTTTACAATGCCTAATATATATGCTGGTGGGTCAATTGACTTTTACCCCATCTGTGCCTGTTGAGTGTCTCCATATAATGGTGGTGGAGACATTAGTTTTCATGGTGCCTCAGGGGCAGACACTGATGTGAATCTAATTTTCTCTGTAGCATGTTCTGTAATTAATGAAATGAGACCTAATTTAACAGCCATCTTTGTGTCATTGTGTGCTTTTCAGTGAGGAAGGAATATCCCCCAGAAAGCTGAATGGTAAAGGGTGGTAGACATAACAGAGACTCCAGTGGAAGAACCAGTCTCTACCCTGGTACTACAGATTAACCTCCGGACAGAGAATAATAGAAAGGAATTTAGATATGGACTAAACTGTTACCTTACAGAGGAAGAGCTAATCTTTAAACTTTTTTTTGTAATTCGGAGCCATAGTCGGTGTAACCTTTTGTTAAAGAAGCCCTGTCACAAACTTAATAAATTGCGGGTAAACGCACTGAAAAATCAAGTATTTCAAATGCTTACTTGCAGGGGTTTCCCTTTCCATAAAACATTTTTTATTCATTTGCAATGCGCCTTTAAGCTTGCTGGAAAATATGACTTGTCCAGGAAGATTCAAATACCTAGCCCAACATGGGAGTGTCTAATTATTCTCTGCGCTGGCCCAGCTCCTCCGCCTCCCACCATAATCTTGAATGTAGCCATCAGGGGGGAGCGAAGAGGAAAATTATAGAGCGAGTGACAGCTCTGAGTCTCCTGGGGCTGCTGACATCTTATCCAAGATGGTGTCACCCAACAGTAGATCTGTAAAAAAATAAATCAAGGTAACTAGACTTGCTATATTTTTCTTCAAGGTGTTTCACTGGTCAGCTGACTAACTTTTTCAATTCAGAATTGAGAAAGCTAGTCAGATGACCAGCAAAACGTCTTCAAGAAAAATACAGCAAGTCCAGTTGCCGTGATTTACTTTTTACAGAGATACCATGACCTGGATGAATGAGGCTCTTCACAGACACCCAGCAGTAGCCTCAGGGCTTTTGGAGGTCTACACAGTGGAGGCATTTACACTTTAATAACATGCACATATAATCTTGTGGGAATATTTTGTTAAAATAAATGGTCTGGTGACAGGGTCTCTTCAAGCTGTAAATGTATAACAAGCGTCAATGAACTTTATTTCAACAAAAGATATATGTATAATAACTATACATTTCTACAGTTCTATTAGATGGGATTACACGCTCTGATCATTTAGAAACAGCTCCAGGTACATCTGCAAACTACTATTTATAGCTCCCCGGATGGGATCACTGTTTGGGATTTGAGTTAATGTTGCAGTATTTACCTTGAATTCATTTATGATGTGACTTTCACAATTCACATCTCTTTTCTGTATGTTTACTATTGGAGAGATTTGTAGATGATTTACTATAGGAACACCATGCAAATTGAAAGTTTGTGGCTGATTAGATTTTTTAAAAGTGATTATTACTTGCTTAAAAAACCTCCCTATGTAATGTTAAGGAGGGGGCTGTGGCAATGTATGTTTACTCTAATTAACCCTGTCTGTACTTTGCTGGCAGGTTTGATTATCAGTTGTAAACTAGATGTGAACATTCTCTGTCCTAACAAAGGGTTAAAGGCTTGCAGGCATTATACAGTATGTCAACGAGGGGAAGCTCAATTTCACCATCTAGTTCAGGGCTGGGCAACTTTAGCTACAAATCCCAACATGCCTCTGCCCCTGGGAGTCATGCCTGTTAACCATCAGTCTTGCAATGCCTCATGGAACTTAAAGTTCCACAACAGCTAGAGAGCCGGTTTTGTCCACCCCTGATCTAGTCTCAGAGTAGCCTGGAATCTATACAAAGGCCTTCACCAAACAGCTAAAAGGTAAGAAATATATTTAAAAATATTTTGGGGTATGCTGTGTGAATAGGAACACAGAAACATACAGAGGGGTTTTCTCAAATTTGACTGCAAAAGTGGAAATACATTTTAGAGTTTTAGATTTCCTTGGACATGACTGGGTATTCATAGTAATGGCAGCCTAATCTTATTTACCAAGGTAAGTAAATATGGCTGCCGTGTATGTGTATATATAGATATATATA